GAAGCAAAAAGTGGTATTATTGGTTGTTTTACCATTTATTAGACCTGACAATTATCAATGCTTGGTTGCTGTGCAAGAGAGTGCACAAACAAAAGTGTAATAGTGAAAAGCCTATGAAACTTGTTACTTTTAGATTGCAGTTAGCAAACCTTTGTGCTTACATGGACAAGTAAAATCACTAAAAAGAGGGAGATCATCAAGTGCAGAGGAAAGAAACAGTTGGAAAACAATCAAAAAAAGCTTCTCGAAAGAGCCTCCAAAAGATATCAGATTTGACAGAATTGATCACTGGCCAGAGCATTCTACAAATAAACAATGATGTAAAATGTTGAATTGCAAAGGATTTACAAGAGTACAGTGCATGAAATGCTCAATTCCTCTATGTTTTTATAAAGAGAAGAACTGTTTTAGAGACTATCATTTACAGTAATTTTTCTCTCTTGAATGTATGGTGTAGCCATTTGGCACAGTTTGTTTTTTTATTTTTTATGCTTAACTGCACGATGTTGCCACTTGGCAACAAACTAACATTTAATCAAAAATAATGAAAATTTAGACTTAAATTTTTTAAAATATTTTTTCATGTTTTCTCATTATATTCTACTACATATATATTTTTTTCAAGGAAAAATAAAAAATCATGCAGTGTAGGGCTAATCAGACAAGAAACTGGAATACACAGAATACCACTCCCCAGGAGCCTCCAAGCTTCTTCACCTGGCTAAAAGCTCAGCTTACTCAAGCTAAAACCTTTTTTTTGCAAAATTTAAAGCTGCTAAGTCACTTATAGAAAGTCGGCGTGGCCGCAATTGAGTATTTTATGAACCAAGATTATGACTTCTAGGTCAATTCAATACAACCCTAATTTGATCTCAACAACTACATGTTTTCTAAAAGTTGCATTCATTAATGCCAATGGCATCTTAAGACAAAAAGACGAGCTTATTAACTATCTAAATAACCACAAAATCGACATCATGTTGATTAGTGAAACCCATCTTTATAAAGAAGTTCGGTTTAATATCCAAGGCTATAATACTCTCAGAACCGACAGAAGTCACAACAACAGAGGAGGCACGGCAATTATCATTAAAAATCACATAAAATCTACCTGTGTTAATATTCACAAGGACGGTATAGAAAATACAGCAGCATTAGTATACTCTGCATTCAATGAGCCATATCTTTCCATCTCGGTCTACCATCCTCCAAATCAAATCCTTAAAAGTACTGATCTTGATAGACTTACAAATTTTAATTACCCCATTCTTATCGCAGGGGATTTGAATTCTAAGAGCAGGACTTGGAATTGCAATGTTAGCAATCGTAACGGCAACATCTTGAATAACTACGTCCTTAACTCCGAAATTCGTGTTATGGCACCCGAACTTCCCACCAGATATAACTATGATGGAAGAGCGGAGATACTTGACATCTTAATTTTGAAGAATATCCATTCCTCACCTTATCTCGAAGTCACTGACGAACTTTCTTCAGATCATCTTCCAGTAAATTTCGATTTTTACGGGTTTTACCCACCCCTCACCAGACCCAACATTAATGTAAATTGGACCATCTACAAGAACGAGTTAATTAATATCCCCTGCCGGAAGATTATGAATAACACTGAAAACATCGAAAATACTATTCAAGACCTAAATAATAATATACAAAGGGCAATGAGCATTGCTTCGTATATTCAAAAATCCAAAACTTATCAAGATCTCCCTCAAAATATTATTAACCTAATTCAGAGAAGAAATATATGCAAGAAATACTGGTATTTATCTCAAGACCCCAGGAACAAAAACCTAAGTTAATTATCTTACTCGAATAATTTCTGAAGAAATCAAAGCTAACCGCTCCAATAAATGGGATTCCTTTCTCGAAAATATTGATATCCTACCAAACACTGTCTGGAAAATAGCTAAGTCCCTCCGCTCGCAGACAAATCATCTACATCCAATTAATTATATGGGAAACATCTTAAATTCAGAAACTGATATCGCAGAAGCCATGGCCGATAGTCTCGAAAAAAGTTTTGAAAAACATAGTGAAGATTCCCCCTTTGATTATACCGTCACTAATGAAGTTGAAGAAATTAAACTCCATAACACAAGAAGCTACATTAACTTTACTTCTCCCAAAAAGATCCAAGAAGTCATTAAAAATCTTAAAAAGAAAAAAGCACGCGGATTCGATAAAATTAACAAGGAAGCCATCCAAGCCCTCCCCAGAAATTGTATCCTCCTTCTATGCAATATCTCTAATGCCTGCATCAGACTTTATTATTTTCCCAAAATCTGGAAGCACTCTATAGTTATCATGATCCTTAAACCAGGAAAAAATCCTAAAGAAGTCTCTAGTTACAGACCTATCAGCCTACTTCCTGCCATAAGCAAAGTGTTTGAAAGTATAATTGCTTCTAGACTCAATCTCCACACCGCCAGCCTAAATGTAACGGATAACCAGCAATTCGGTTTTAAAAAAGGTCCTTCGACCTCACATCAAATTTTCAACCTCATAGAATTCATAGCCCTGGAGTTCCAAAAGAAAAACGCAGTCGCAGTATGCTACCTCGACTTCGAAAAAGCTTTCGATCGAGTGTGGCATGCTGGACTTATCTTTAAATTAGCTAAACTTCAAGTTCCGACTAATTTTCTTAACTTTATGATTTCATATCTCAAAGACAGAACCTTACAAGTTCGCTGCGAAGACGCACTTTTTAATAACAAGAACTTTCATAGAAGGCTCTCTCAAGGCTCAGTTATCTCTCCGGCTAATTTCAATTTATATGCAAATGATACGCCTAATTCTAATAATGCAAAAATTTTAAAATATGCGGATGACACCGTTATCCTCACAAATTCTCTTCATCCTCAGCTTTCCATAGAAAAACTCTCTGTTCAAGTTAATATTATTAATGAATGGTGTGAAAAATGGAAAATTAATTTAAACCCATCTAAATGCTGCATTGTTTTATACAGAAGGTACAAGAAAAATCATCCTGTGAACATTGACATTAGAAATGATAATACTTTAATCCCACAGGCTAACTAATACAAATATCTTGGTGTCTATATCGATAAACAAATTACCTTCAAAGAACACATCGATCATATTTGTAATAAGGCTAATGCTGCATTTATGTCAATCTACCCTCTATTAGGACGGAATTCGAAGCTTAACCTGAATACTAAAAGGACGCTCTATCTTACATTAATAAGGCCAATTCTACTCTATGCTGCACTCACCTGGGCTACCACTAACAAGACTACTAGTAAAAAACTTAGCGTTTTACAAAATAAAATTCTACGAGCCATAACAAATGCACCGTGGTTTGTGCGGAACACTCAGATTTACCAAGAACTTAAAATTCCTGAGTTTCAAGATGCTATACTAATGACTGCGCACAATTTTTTCAACAACATCGCAAATTCTCGCTATGATACTATTCGAAATCTCTCAAATTATGACCCTGATGAAGAGTCACTAGTGAAACGGCCCAGATCAATAATAATAATATAATTCTAAATGGTAATAATAATAACCATAATTCTAAATGGTAATAATAATAACCATAATTCTAAATGGTAATTGTATATACTGTAAGTATTTTCATCTCCTTCCTTATTTAACTAAGATTTTCAAGACTGTGTTCATCATGTTTAGTGTTTTCTATGTATACATCCGTAAAGCCATGGACTAAATACTGTGATTTCTACAAAGCAAGGATTTTGTTTTTTATTTCGCTTAGCCATAAAGACTTTGCCTTTACTTTATTTATGTTTTTAATTACTTATTTTAATGATCGGGTGTCGTCTTCGCCTTCTCCTGTACACAGTGCCTTCCTACTGCCTTACGTGATTGACACGCCCACTCAGCGAGGACTTTACATTTTCAGTTATTACTCAAGAATTATTTTATTTTATTGCTTCATTTCAATTTTTTTTATGTCAAGAAAAAGACTGTGTTTTCTGCAAAATTACTGCAAGTTATACTATAACTCTCATTTAATTGTAAAACTTTGAATTAATGCTTATATCTGCACCTCCAATGAGAACGTGACTCCCAGTCACATGACTTCAACTAGCTACTCTGACGTATCTCTGCTCATTCCAGTCAGCGAAGAATCTCCGAACAGGCTACACGCAGTTTTGCGACGCTCCGAAGCACCAACTCTTTCAGCGCAACTTTAATTAATCTTCTGTTTATCAGATCAAAAGAATAACTAGTATTTATACGTATGTACGCCTTCCCTAATGACTTTGTCACCTCGATCATTTTTCGCCTTCGGGTGCGGCGCTCACGCGCCACTGAGCTAAGAAAAATAAAAGTGAATGGCTTAAGCCGCAATAATTATAGGTTAAAACCCGTGGTGGTTAATACCTAGTGTGAGAATGACGATTCTGATTCTGAGGAGTATGACGATAATGACGGCTAGACTATCGTCAGGAGGAGGGTTTCCTTACCTTCTGAAAGTATCCGTATATGGAACGTTGAAGAAAGATCAACGGTACTGCAAAGGTGGTTACAATATATTCGCATTGCATTTTTTACTGCAGCAATATTCCCAGTCGCGGAGCAGCCCCTTTAATGAGTTCCTCGCCAAACACTGCTTCCGTATCTTTTCGTCACATTTAAGCTTTTGCGACGCCTTCCGTTTTCCAGATATGGAGACGCACATAAAATGTCGCAGTTTTCACAACTTTTTATAGATTAAGCGCGAATGGCTAAAAATAATGGACTTGCGTATGCATAATGACTTCAGGACTTCCCACTGATGACAGGAACACCGAGACATGTACTTACCTTCCACAAACTTACATGTCAAAAGGAACCGTGTTCAAATTTAGGTAAATAGAGGGTAGGTAAATGATGTATTTTATCGTCAACAAAGCTAATTCGGGAACTTTTTGATGCACCCGTGTCACGAAGATCCATTGTATTACATTTTGAATTTTTTAATTTTGTTGAGTTATTTCTGTTTATTATTGCAGCCCTGCCCAGAAAATGTTCCCAGTTTTCGAGCTGTACAGTGTAGTGCTTATGATGACGTGCCCTACAAGGAAGAGCTCCACACTTGGCTGCCGGTTGCCACTCCAAGTATGTTGAATTCATCTTAAATCGAAGTATTTATGTGAAGCTAGGCCATTTAGCACGATAGCACATAAGCTAATTAAAATTATACGGTACTCTTTAAATAAACATCTCAAAATTACTGCTTTCTTCTTTGTTTTCTCTTGTAATACGCGTCATATATCTTCCTCTGAAATAATTTTCCTCATTCCCTTTGGACTTTTTATTCGTACAGTTTAACTACCTGCGTTAAAATGGAAATAAAATAAAAAGAGCTAAGAAATCTAAAGTCTAAAAATTCTGCAAAATAAACTGTTACGTGAGATCGTCTATGCGCTTGATACATTCCAAATCACACTATACAAGAATACATACACACACTAGCCACAAAATTTTTCCACACAGTGAAATTCCATCACAATATAGAAATTGCTAGCCTCAGATACTCACCCATTCCACATGAAAAGCATAAATACCCAGCTCATATCTTAGCACCATAACATTAAGTTTTATACTGATACCTTTTTTTAACTTATATATCTCAAATTTTTCACTGACACCCGTACACGCATGACTACGTGCCTCCCACTGAAAATTGCCCATTGATTGCGGACCGGGCTCATACAACACACTTAGCTGCTATGACGTTGCAGTGACCTCTCAATGATGCATTTTCTTCACATTACATTTGTGACCACGGTGCAACGTCGCAAGAATGTCGCATTGTGATGTGGATATGAATGTCGTACGGATGTCACATGCACGTCGCAGCAAACGTTTAAAGTGTCGACAAAAAATTCGCAGTCTTACCCACCCTGACCTTTCTAGACATTGCTCACGTAATTCTTTTGTAATGGGATTCTTCTGTAGTCCTTGCGCGCTGACCTCCCTACCCCCGATTCATTGCTATGTGTTTCAGTAAACCTTTCTAAATAAATGATTCTTTTATGCTAATAGCAAGTTTAGTTATTTCTTTTTTATTAAAACTATTAACAGTTTTTAGCGTGTTTTATATTGATGTGGTACTTCGAAATCATTGAACTAATATTCCTGTGGTGAATGAATTCCACGTAATTCTACCGTATCTAGTGTTATCAAGAGAGGACTGACGAAAGAGTTTGTTGTCCTGCATAGCGTTCGTTTGTCTTCAGGATTTTTGCGACCATGTTTTTAGTTCTATTCCTTCTGTTCACCGAGCACATCGTCAGTGCTACATTTTCCAGGTAAGCACTGTTTATTGTACATTGAAGTGAATGACATCAGTAATAAATTAATGCATAGTATAATAAATAAAAGCGTAATTTAAATGCTATGAACAACAACAACAACAACAAAAAATAATAAGGAATGAACTGGCGAGTAGATTAACTTTTATGTATATTACAAAGAGTTGCGGAAGCAAGGTCAGTATTAAAAGTTTACTCTCATTTTTTGTCTCACTACTTAGAAATTTTAATTTAGGGAGTCAGGTTTATTTGGTAGATATAATTCACTTTTTGTTGTTTTTTAATGTTAAAAGATAATGTGAAAAAAGAATTGATTTTATGCATTTTACTGCAGTACTTTCATCGTGTTCAGCTATTTTTCGAATTATTTATAAAATAATTACTTACTTCCATGCGTGGTACTGAGCGCCACATTATAAATGATGCCATACTTCCCTAACCACGTTTTAGTTATATAGAACACGTCTTTTAATTATTATAACTTTATTTATTAACTTAATTATTATAACTTTACAAATGGTGTATTAATTTAAAACACCGAACTTTTCTACATGTTTCCTATACGTTAATTTCTGAGATTAGGTTTAAAATTCATTATATCAGATCTTTTTTTTTTTTCGAAAATTATGTCACACTTTTACGTATAATATATTTGTGTTGTTAAAGTAACTCAATTTCCTTATTAAAAGGTTTAGTTAGAGAAAAGTATTTCCTAGTGTAGGTCAGATTATTTGAATACGGCAAAACATACGAGGGCTGCCTACTTAAGAGAAGGGATGCCTTTGTGGAGGATTGTTTAAGGAAACTAACTCGTATTCACTTTATATATTAAGAAAAACATGAAAATCTGTGCAAAAGTATTTGCTACTTGAGAGGTTAAGAGAATATATTTATGGTATTAATTTTTTAAATAGATACATAAATTATTTAAACGATAACAATATAAAAATAAGGAAATTACATTTCATCCTTACTTATATACGAAGGAAGTTAAAATTTCACTTGTGACAAAAAAGTATAAATTAATATTAATTTGTCTCTAAAAGTACAAGTTACTTCATGTTATAAAGAAACCGAATTTCAAATTGTATTTTAAGAAAATTTAACCTATTGCAGACAATTTTATAAATGTAATGAAAATTACTATAAATCGAAATGTATATTTAAGCTTCATTAATTTAATTATCTAAGTTTAAATTTAGTTTTGCTTTAATGTGGTGTATTGAGAATACGGCAAAGCACACTAGGGCTATCTGCCTAAGGGGAGGGATGCTTTCGTGGAGGACTTTCTAAGGGAAACTGGCTCGTATACACGTTACACATGGGGAAAACCACGAAAACGTCCATGCAGCCAGCCCGTTCATAGGATTCGAACCTCGGACCGAACTACCAGTGTTCAGCGATTTTGCCGCTCGGCCGCTGGTCGGTCCTTTGCTTTAATGTATCATTTGCAGAAATAGACACTGAAAAGATACTAATTTCTGCAATCGTATTTAAAAAGCTTAGAAAAATTAAGAAAGAAATCTTTCACAAAGGAATTTAAAAATTTCATTGTGATAACTTGCAAATTTGCTTATTTTAAAACACTGATAATCTAAAGTAAAGTCTTTGCCAAACAGGGTAAGAAAAAATGATTTTAAGGTAAAATATAACTTCATGGAATTCTTTTTATTGGGACAGACTTCAATTCTTTGCCGCATTTAAATAAGCAAATAAATTTGTTTGGAAATTTCATAAGAGAAAGCCATTCCCTGGAGAGTCAATCGAAGGTTCTGCAAACTCCGTATAATTGCGCTGCATTATACTGTGGGACAAACAAATATTTCTTTTAATGTTAAGTTGAGGAGTTTTATATTTTCATTATTTTTTAGTTTTAACAAAAGTTGTAAAGTTATTCCTACAAAATTAAGTAGTGGAAATACTTTTATTTTCATAAATACAGCCACTTTGAATTTGAACTTAAATATGTTACTGAAATTCAGTTTTAATTGCGTAGTTTCTAAATTGAAAGGCATAAACGTGTTTTCATATTTCATTTCCCATTGTGTTTTCATTTTTTTATATTAAAAATTCAAATAATCTATTTCTCTTCAGTTAAAAATATACTAAGGAAACTGTTTCTTAAATTCTCGTCTAGTAAAAAAAACTATAACATCATTGCTAAAACATGTAATTGATGCCTTTTTGACATCTTAACGGTTTGAAATCAAATGAAAACTTTAAAAAAAAAATGAAGTACTTTAAAGATAGTAAAGCATCAGGGCCTTATCATCAGATTTTAATATCTGAAACTAATCCCATAACTGCTTACGTTCCAAATTTTGATTTATACAGTATATGTGCCCCATTATATCCGAATGCCTGATTCCAAAAAAAAAAAAAAAAAAAAAAAAAAAAGTACGGTTCTGTGTTGTACAGATTCATTTAGATTAAATTAATAACTTTTTGAAAGTATTCATTGTAAAATATAGTATCTTCATATTATTTAAATTAAATAAAAAACTAAATCGTGTTGATATTAAGGAAGAAGGATAGCAAGACTGACTATATCTCATGTTACCTCATATTTGCATCAAAACACATTTTCCGAATCTTCATCTTTGCTCTGGAAAATCGTATTAAAATAATTCTAAATGCCCTGATTTCATTTTATATTTGCAGAAATTTGTGGATAGCAAAAAATCTTCATTGATTCTTTTCGCGCTTCTATAAAGTTCATGCATCTCTGGTATTTTTCTCGTCGATAATCGCTTCATTCTTAATAACAATTTTTAAATTTATTTTCAATTATTATATATTAATTATTACTGTTATCATTCAAGTCAGTATACAATAGGTGTTTACTCCCCATATGTGATATGTTAAATAAAGGAACTTGTGAACTTTAACGCATAAGCAGCCGAGTTTCATTCACTTTACCGTAGGAGCTACGAATAGTATTTAAGCATTGCTGTGAAGGTCATAGTATAGTGTATGTTCTCAGAAGTGAGTAATACAGATTTTCCGTAAATCAGCTTCGATAACAATAATTGTTTTATGAACTGTAATAATTAATTCATGCAAATTTGTAATGTTTTTGCATAATATTCTATTTGTTAAGAAAACAGAAAAAAGCATTCAGGAAATGCTGAAATATTTAAAACAAATCATTCACATTAATCATCCAATGAAACAAATTATACGACATTTTTACCGTGGTACAATTATTTAAATATATTGAAGCTATGCAGTGTTAAAAAGATTGTTATTTTAAATTTATAGCTTAAAAATCTCATAAAATTGTAATTTGTCAATGGAGTAATAATGGTGAAAGAGAATGCCCGTTTTGTATAACTAATATAACTAAGTATAAATATTTATTTCCTGTAATTTAGTTTCTATAACCACGTTTCCCAGCTATTAACTTTTGTACCCATAACTATTATTTCAGTATTATAGATTAAGCAACAAATCGCTAATTTGGAAACGAAGATTGTAGTTAACTCATTTGGAATCTATGATTGTGTTAATTTATAAAAGCTTTTAATTCAAAACGCGCGCGTGTGTGTGATTATGGCAAAGCCTCGAGGGCTATCTGCCTAAAGGGAGGGATGCCTTCGTGGAGGACTTTCTAAGGAAAACTGGCTCGTATACACGTTACACATGGGGAAAACACGAAATCGCCCATTTAATTCAAAACGAAACATTTCGTTATATAACAAGATAATAAAATAGGCAAATGTTCTATAAATAAAGTACTAAAACGGTTTTTCTTTCATCCAGTTATCAAAATAATTTAGCTCTTTTTCTGGAAGGAAAGCA